TAATAATAGTTCAAAATTTTACCATAATAGATAAATTATTTTATTTATATTTTGTGAAATTTTAATAAAAATTGGTTATAATTTAAAAAAGTTTTATAAATAGTATATTTTAATTTTATATAAAAATTTCAAAGTATCATATAAAACTATATAAAAATGATCTATGTACCCTCTACCCTTAACTATAATCACAATGGTGTATTTTTTTTAGATAAAATATTTTAAAAAATATTAAATAAGATAAATAGAAAAAATATATTCTTTGAGATAAATAAGATAAGTATAATCTTTTTGATATTTAGAAAAAATATATTATTTCAAAAATAATTTAATAGAATAAATAGGATAAATACATTAATTTGAAAAAAGATTTATTAAGATAATTAGAATAAATGTATTATTTTGAAAATATAGAAAGAGTATATTATTTTAAAAAATATTTTTTATTTTTTTTTTATATTTGTAAAATAAAAAAACTATGCCTTAAATCTATACCTTGAATAATATAGACAATAGTAATAGTAGAAAACTTGGAAGCCCTTCATCTAATTAATATTCACCTAATCATTTAGAGTTTGAAGAACAACTAAAAAAAGAGTGTAAAATATTTATAAGATCAGCCAAACAGCTTATAACTAAATATTAAACCTTAGATAAGAAAATAAGTATATTCAAAATGGTTTAGATCACTTATATGAAGAAAATAAGCATATACAAAATGATCTAAATCACTTATATGAAGAAAATGATCATATGTAAATTTCTATAAATTAAATTATTCTACTAACCAAGCAACTAAATAGTATGAATAATAGGCTTATGTCTCAAATTACTTGCAAATAAAAGTCTTATGCTAATCTTAATACTAAACAGTTAAAAGAAATAAAATTGCTAAAGTCTGAGATTAATTTAAAGGATTTTGAAATTGTCTCTCTAAAGGCTAGAATAAATAAATTAGAGGCTAAGTTTAAACAAATAGCACAAAAAGCTTTATTAAAGGATAATGATACTACTCAGTTACTGCACAATTCCTTTTTTGAGATTAGAATAAAAGAATTAAAAAATGAACTAAAGAAGGTTATATATAATTTATTATTTAAGAATAGATTAATTTTCTGCCTCAGGTCTAAAGAAAGTGATCTGGAAGATGAATTAGAACAGATTTCTCTAAAATTATGTCTATCAACTAATGATTGAAAAACAGGTAGTGATGTTATAGAAGAGGTATCCAGTTTCTCTAAGACCTTCTCTTTGTCTTCACACTACTTAGAGCTTGAGGCTAATAAAAGTAAAGTGAAAGATGTGATAGAGTCTCTAATAGACCATGTCTGCAATAAGCAGAAAGAGAAACTTGATAATATTCAAGTCTTATCTATTGTTATATTAGAGGTTGGTAATGCTTTAGTTAATAATTAGTATATAATTCTGCCTATATTCAAGCTTGTTATTTTATCCTTAGTGATAATATTAATTATATAATATATATATAGACAATTTTTTTGCTCAATCAAAAAAAAGAAATTTTTTATCCAGTTTATAAAAATCAAAGTTATAGTTTCATGAACCATTATGCAAAAGAACCAAAAGACAACTGGACTGCTCTCTATGAAACTGTATCTTATAAATATAGATGAGATTACAAAGCATGAATCATTTAAAAATGTCAGACATTCAGCAATAACATAGCCTTTCAGCAAGATAGTCAGCAGAAGAAGTAGTACAAGTAAGACCAATTTACTAGCAAATTTGTTTTTAAGAGATAAGAGTAAGCATATATATAAAGAATAAAAAGAAGAAATAAGATATATTAGATGTAATGATTTAATAGTATGTGGTTATTATTCTGATGAACCAAAATAGGTATTTGTAAGATATATGTATGGCATAATTTCAAAAGATCCAAAAGCACTATATTATGAGAATATTCAGTTTAGCTATATTTCTTTTGAAAGGATTCCAAACATGAAATCATTCTCATCAGAAAGAAACACTGTTATTATTTTTGAGGATTTGTATGTTGCCTTAGAGTATATACAAAATCAAATTATCACTTTCTTTACTCATATGCATCATAGGAACATTTCATTTATTTATATATCACAATATTATCATAAAGTTCTTATTATTATTCAAGAAAATGTCTTCCATTTAGTGATATTTAATAGTGTTAGTAATGCTTATGATATCTTCAAAATTATTAGACAAAATACTGATGATGTAAAAGGTGCATCTATGGTTATTAATAGCTACCTCAATAAAGGTAAGTTTGTTGTATTTGATCTTAGTAGGCTGAAGGATGATTCTCTTGTCATTCGACTAAGGTTTAACATATTATTAAATCTACAAAAAAAGAAAGATGTAAGACAAAAGTGCAAGAAAAAAAGCAATCTAGCTAATTTATAATTTTAATAACAATTCTACCATTTTTCTAATGCTATTCTTGAAATCATGAATGAGTAATATAATTTATATCTTAATATTTACTTGTAATATATGCAATAAAGAAATAAAAATCTATGAAATATATAATAATAATTACTTAAATTTTTTTTTGTTTCTGGCTACAAATTTAAATCATGATATTCATAAATATAAGTTGATAAAAAATCACTAAAAATACTATAAATTAGTAGAATCAGCTATAAACTGCTATAAACTACTATAAACTAGAGTAAAAAAATAGTTAAAACTAATTTCTATTCTAATTTAAATCTCAGAGTAATGCAAGTGTTAAACATTTTGCAATATAGTTATAATAATAAAACACCAGAAATGTGATATTTTCATATTTATTGCCTATTTAAAATACTTCTCAAATATAACTTAAAATACTTCTCCAAAAATGAATTTATTCAAATAATTGAAAGATCATATGAAGAGCATTCAGTTTATATTTATTGCATTGTATACAACTTCTTAGTAATTATTTACAAAAATACAATCAAATATACAAATGATTATCTAAAAAAATATATTACTGAAACCACTAATATGCATTCTAATCCTGTATGAAAGAATGTGAAAAAAGAGAAAGGAGCATCATTACTTAGCATTAATATAGTTAATAAGATATATAAGAGATATTATTTTATATACAGTAAAGGCTTGAGCTATTATGATTATAAATATTTAAATAAAAACAAACTTAAAAAAAGAATTATAGTTTATATAATTAATGTGTAATAGTTTTTCAATGGGCTTGGAGAACTTACAAGTTGAGACCGAGATATAGGCAAGTCGAATTTGAAATATAATAAGAAATGATAATACTTCTAACAAGAAGAAGTTTTTAGATATAAGTTTTCATTGTATAAAAATTCTTAATAATCAATATGTAGATTATTTTGGCCAAAAAATTTAAGCTAAAGATGTGCATATATAGTATTAGAATTTTTCTATCTTATTTAAATATTACCTTTCTAATATCTAGACAGAAAAGAAGAAAAAATAACTAAATAATTGATTATCTTTTGTATTATATATTTTGCTTTTATAGTATTATATTGACAAGACTATAGAATTGTTAAATATTCAGAATGAACTTATATATTAAAATGGCTATCGAATCACAAATTTTATTGTATTGATGAACATAGCAAAGTAAAAATCATTAAAACTTTAAAATATATATGATATTTGTTTTTTTTTTTTTTTAAGATGACTTCTTTGGTCTTTTGACTTTTATTAATCACTTATCAGTATTGTAGTTCAATGAACTACTACAGAAAAGAGTACAATTGGCTATATATATAACTTTTTTATATTACCTATTTAAGGAATCTGCCTAAAGGTTCCCCACTAATTGCTATATCTAATATCTCTGTTTGAGTGTTTTACTTTAAATTCTCTGAATCTGTAATTTGTGTTAACTCACTAGGTCATACTCAGATGCCCAGATCATCATCTCAATCTTAGAACTAATTTATCCTTAAAGTAAACCCTCTAGAGCCTTCTGTACCTATTTTTATAACTAACCTAGGTATCATTATAGCCAAACTAATACTTGTAGTCAGAGCTGATCATTAAACTGCTATGCCCTTGTAGAGTTCACTTAGACTCCAACATCTACTTCACAACATAACCCCAGTACTTTAGTATACCTCTGCCTTTTCACCTGCCTTTTTACTAAACTTCTAATCCAAATAGCCTGTGTAGGACTATGACCAGTCCATCGATATATTAGATCAACCCAATATCCTTTTTCTTCAGTTTGTTTTAACAATCTGGTTGATGATATTCTGAGACTCCCAACCTGAAGGTTCTTACTCATCTAGCTATTATGACTGAGTACCACAACCTTGGTATCCATTTCTCTAGACTAGGCTTTACAGTAGAATCATTGAAGATCCAGCTACTTCTCTACTCAGATCTTCCCAAATGGACTTCTTGTTATCTAATTTCAATAAATTTATATGACTACAAGGATTTATCTAGTATTTGCATTGCCTGATTTGTTAGTTTGCATTTCTTTGTGTAATGACATACTTACACAGATGCCTCATAACCTGCCAGTCATGCTAGTGCAACTGCTATTAAGGTATCCTAACCTAATCATTAGTAACAGTTGCTATAATATAAATATTACATAGGTGATTATTTAAATTTTCATCATCGATGAGATTGGAACACCCAACCTACCACTTGGGAGGTTGACAACCTGACCATTTTATTAGATAACCACATTCTATATGTGATATTTGTGTAAATTGTATAGCAAACTATATCTATATAATTCTTTAAAAATTGACTATTTTAATTCTAGAAACTTCTATTTTCAAGAAAAAAATATTAATATAAATTTCTTGAATTTTAATAATAATTGTGAATATATATGCCAAGTTTTCTGAGCTATAGATTTTTTATTAAAATAGCAAAGACAGGTTTCACTCTGGATCTTATGCTAGAAAATATATATTCAAAAAATTGTTAGATTGATATGTCAGATATTTTTTATCATAAATAGTAATAAAATTTTCTCAGTAGATGTATTCAAATTACTTTATGTGGTGTGATTTGAGGGGTTTAAAACCTATGAAGTCTGCATCACCTTCCTCCTCAAACACATCTCATATTAAGGATAATGATCATGTCCAAGAAAAAAATGTAACTCTGAATTGGGAGGAAATACTCAAACCCTAGGCCTGCCTTAAAAGGTGAAAAATACCCCTAAGAAGATTATATTACAAAAAAACTAAATATAATAAAAGACAATTAACTTACTTTTAAAGGATTGTAGAAAAGGTTGTGTATAGTATTTATATAAATTTCAAGATGGATACATTCAAACTGTTTCTTATCTCATAACTCAGTAAACTAAACTAGGGGAATCTTGTTCAGTCTTCATCTCCTCACCACACAGACAATTATAGTGATGATTATGCCCTCTAAAATTGGGTTTATAAGCAGAGAAAAAATAAATTATGGAAAGGTAACAGACGGATCCCGGGCCTGCTTTGAAAAGCAATGACTGCACCTGAGAAGACTATGCATAGTCAGAGGCTCTATCACTTCTATAACAGAAACAAAATTTTTTGCTTGACTAATGCAGAAATGAGTGGATTTGAAAAACTTCAGATAGAAAAAGAAAAAAAAAGTTTTATATATACTTATTTAAGCTTCATGCACGTAGCGTTCAAGGAATGTTTCAAGTTGGTTATTGATATGTGGCTCACTATATTTGCAATTAATAGCCTCGATTATCCTTTTTTTAGATAAATATTATGTTTGTTTTTAAGGGCAGTTTACTTAATCTATAAATATTTGTACATCCGGCACGTCTTACATTCTTCTCAACAATTTTGCTAAGCTTCGAATTCTCAGCCTCAAGCTTGTAATTTCTGGCCTCTATGGATTTCATTTTCGATCATACTTTCTTTTACAAGTAGGCGGTTTATAGTGATTATATAGTATGTAGTATAAGTATTGTTTATAGCGCTTTTAACGATTTATATCGATTCCTTATCAACATATATTAGAGAATAACATTGATTCAAATTTATACAGGTTCGTTGTCTATAACTTTATGTGGACTAAGTGTTGTGTGTCAGAGAATAGGCAAGGCAGAAGAACAAGAAAAAAATGCCTCCTGTGAACATGAAAAGGCATGACAAAATGTCACAATCGGGATTATTTTAAATGCAGTTTTATTTTAGTGCTTGCATCAGACAATTCTTGGTAATAACTTTCCGAACTACTGTTGACTTATTACTATGGATCTTTCAGAGGATAAAGTATGAGTACAAACAACTCTCCACATTTCCCAATTCACAGCGTGAGAAAAAAAATATCGAAAAAAGTTTAGCAATTTCATTATCGGAGATCACTGTCATATACTATTATAACTATTCTGATCATCTTTTCTTTTTTTTGGAGTAAAATATGTATCTCGAATATACTTGATCTTGAAATGTTTTGCCTTTGAGCTACCCGATTGATGTAGTATCTTATGAAGAGGATTATTAGTCTTCGTCGGATCGGCCTGTAATTTTGCTTTTTCAACGACGTTTTTCTAATATATATATAATATACTTTAAAATAAATAACTATTAATTACTATCAATTAATGCTAATATTTCACCTTGAAAAAAAATAAAGCCTCCAATGCACTACGGAGACATTTAATATTCATAAATTGTGTCGGAAATTCAAAAGTTGGACCTTCAAGTCCAAAGTACAACCCATCATCTAAAAGTTCTATTCCTATAATCTGACCGTGTAAACCTTAAACAACCAAAGGGTTAACTATGTAATTGATTCATTGTGCGAATAAATACACTTACCAGAAAACTGAATTCCTAGAATTTTTGAATCTCGCACTTCTTCATCAGATAAGTCTCTTTTCAAAAAATTATTTAAAACACCTTTCAGCGTACGTAAACATTTTGACCGGTCATGTATTATTTTCGTAGGAGATGGAATCTTTGCACACTCTGAATGACTTAGTTCAAGTTTATCCGCGATACGAATGATTCGTAAATCAACCTTTCTACGCCGATCGGACATTACATTGGAAAGCGTTTCTCCCCTATATACAAGTATGAAATCAATGCTATTTATTGCTCATGCAAAATAAATGTATCGGTCTTACCAGCGAAGATTTATATATTCAAATGTATCGTTAAATATTTCGCTCATTATCGGTGCAATCATCTCAATTGCATATTCGATTTCACTCATTTCTTGGCACTTTCCGGAGTTATCAACAAAAATAAAAGGTTTTCTTAAAAATTTGTCGATTCTAAAGTAAATTTAACAATATTAATTAACGAATAATGTAATTAAATCGAAAATTAAAGAAAAAACTCACACAAAAAAATAAATATTTGATATTTGTATTAACGTCTGAGAGGTATTGCTAGTTTTGATTTTATATGAATAGTCTCGGGCTTCATTGTATTTGTACGCGCTACACATCTGATTATAGTCAAATAGACATAAAGATAAGTAAACAAAGTAACGTTGTACGCATGCTTAAAAGTCAGTATATGTAACTTTCCTCTTCAATTGTGCCTATTACATTTTCCACTTCCCCCTCGAAAGCTTTCGGCTTCATATCAATAATTTCATAAACCTTTTTTTTAATATTAGCCCAATCTTTCTCAAACCATGAACACATTCCGTCTTCGAACTCGGATGATAAATCAATTATTGAAGACAATCCTAACCTGTATTTACCATGTTAGAAATTTCTTATCAGTAACTTTGGAAAATATGAGACCATACCTGATGACACTTTTCGCAATTAGGGTTTGCTCTTTTTTGTCTTTTTTCGGGAATAGTTTAACCATTTCGGAAGTCTTACTATTAAGAGCTTTAACAAGATGCCGACCATCTAGTAATTTCCACTTGGAATCTCTTTTACTTTGATCAACATAATCGTCAAACGAAACGGTATTTATATCAAGACAAAATTTTTCTTCCTTATCCGAATTATCGTCTTCATCGGGTTCACTATCGGAACTTACTAAGATATAATGGGGAGGTGGGGTGTGATGCCGAAGATTAGGAGGAGAAGTGGTTACATGAGAGGCATCCTCGGCCGGTCTTTTCTTTTCTGGATGTGTTGTATTCGTCACACTCTTATTTTTAGTAGCTTCTGACGCTATGATCCCATTGTTCTGTATATTCCCGTAAAAGTTAATCGAATTCGAAGCTTCACTAGACATCTTTCTATGTTTACTTTCCCAATTTCGAGCAAGTTTTCGATCTGGTCGAGAACCCTAACGCGTAAAATTTGGTAAGTTAGTAATATTATTGATTAGTGTATTTATCATATCCTCCTATTTTTATCCCACCAGGTCGACTTTGAGCCTTGAACGTAAGACAGCCTTCGAGATTGTCCACGCCCCAATGGGGTTAGTGCCAGGTCAACTTTGAGCCTTGAACGTAAGACAACCTTCGAGATTGCCCACGCCCCAGCACTAACTTCGTGGCTCGCCTTTGAGACTTGAATGATACGAGACCTTCGAGATCCCGCACACGCCACCAAATTCTATAGCTTTTAACTAAAGACAAAGAAAAAACATGAATTTACCTCCCTATATCTTGCAAGCAATTCCTTTGCTCGTTCGCACTTTTGTCCTTCCTCAGTGTTGGCGATGGCCTCAAGAGATTTAAGGTAAATACTTATTTTGTCACTTATGTCATCGAGTTCACAGCAATCTAAGAAGTCTTTAATATCCCAACTAGAGACTTTTCGATTAAAATAAACATGAATATGTTTTTCAGACATAAGTGTAATTTAATTTTGTCAGAAATTTCAGATCTTCCACCATTTTTTTTAATCACATGTGACCTCAAATAATTTTAGAATGGTAATTTTACTGGCCTCATAGGAGGACATTCGTCAGGTATTTTACGCGATTTAGAAATGATCTGCAATATACTAAGCGATTATTATAAAACCGATTTCTATTTAAAAAAAGACATTTTTTATTATCTAAAAATAACAATCAGTTTTTAAAAAACCTTTAAAATATTCTTGTAAAAGTTATTCTATGAATATGTAGTCTAGGGATCCGTGGGGATCCCTGAGGGTTTAAAAGGTGGTTGTGTGCCAAATAACAACGCAGCCAATGATTGGCGCAAATTTTGTACCATAGAATTAAAAAAGAATTTTCCAATTGAAGATCTTTTATCAAAAGTAGAAATGATCTACGTTTCACTGCATTGAAATAGATGCTATTAATAATGTATTGGGTTTATTAATAATGAATACCACTTTTACTTCACTTATGTGTATCGATCTATCTTATATATATTTGAAATAAATTAATTCTTTCGTATATTTATTAATTTATAAACTTCATACGAAGTTTTTTTATTTTCTAGTATATAGTATTAAAGCGATGAATTTTTTAATTTTATTGGTTAATTATCATGGGTGATCACGGGTAGATCTATAAAAATTAGCCAATCAAACGAACTTCTTCCTATGAATTTAGTACTACAAAAAATATGCATGCTTATATGATAATCGTCATGTGCTCCGGACACACAATGCTACGCATTAGCCTAGTTTATTCGATGAGCGGTCACACGAGTTATTATGTCCGTTGGGGCGCAGTAATTCTTGCGCAGTAAGCGACTTATCTCTATTCAATATTATCAGGTTTAAAAATAAATTTAGTAGAAAAAGACCTTTGGCAAGAACTTTTACCGAATAACTCTGTGATGATTGATCTCATATGACTGAACTATACTATGATAGCGAACTTGAATTTATTGCTTGAACTGTTGCAGGTAAGATAATATTCTGTTCCATTTCTATACCATTCGCCATGCAATCCATAATTCCCATGTTTTCCATCACAAGTAGGGCATGGCGAATTCCACGGCTGAGCAGATACAAAATTATAGTTATCAATCCCTCTAAAACTATTTCGGAATTTCAAGTATGACACGTATTTGGTAATTAACTCTGAATCAGGTTTGGCTTCGAACATGATAGGCTTTTTTTTCATCGGAGAAGCAAAAATTCTTGAATGCTTTAGGCCCTATGCATTGTTATGCTGAAATGAAAAATCGTATATTAAAGTCAACAGATGCTAATAGATTAAGTAACGAAAAAAATTACATATATAAGATATGCATGTATATTAAACACATAGATATTAAGTTATATATTATGAATTGATTATAGGTCGAAAACTTTAAAAGCTTGATTAACGAAGTCTTTAATTTTTTGTATTCTTTCCGGAATGACCTTTTCCGGATTTTCATTGTACCACACTTCAAGTAGGAAAATTCCATTAAGTTGACAAAGGCATCTTTTCTTCCGATCACGATCACGATCAACAATATCCTCAAATCTTTTGATATGACAGATATATAAATTAATCTAGCTAAATCTATCCTGGTTTCTAACACATCATCTATTGCTAAACTTTTTTTCTTTGATTCATCAATAAAATCTATTCTAGCCAACCAACCATTCAAATTTCTGGGCTGTTGGTTCATACTTAATAGATCTATATTCAAACAAGGTCAGCTAATTCAAGCTAAAGCAATCCAACTAATTAATATTACTAGTACTAAAAAAATTACTGAAAAACAAATAGCATATATCATTAATACAGTAATTATACCAACTATTGA